TCTGGCTATTCCAAGCTCTATCATTGCAGTCAGCGGGTGTTGCAGTTGAACAGTCCATAAGTCGTCAAATAAAGCACGCGCATCCGTAATAAAACGTCCCTCACACGGCTCCGGGGCATGAATAAAGGCCTCCTGTAGCAAATCCATGCGTTTTCGTAAGCAAAATATCCGTATTTCAAACGTAATAAACACTTTTCTATCACTTCCGCCATCTGTCATACGCGGAAGGCTTTCCGGCGGATGATGTAGGACGTCGGCGTTGCATGATACGTGACGAATGCGGAGAGAGAACAAAACAAATCGCCGTTCACGAATTAGAAGCACAAAATGAGGATTTGTAAAGAAAGGAGACAGGAGGCCTTTATTCACCCCCCGGAGCCGTGTGAGGGATGTTTTATTACAGATGCGCGCGATTTATTTCACGTCTTCTGAACTGTTGACAACCAACACCCGCTTACCCCCATTGAAAGGCTTGGAGGGGCCAGGACAATTGGATTGGGTTCGTCTGAAAGAAGAAAGTCACATACACCTAGGATGCTTTGATGGTGAGTAAAACACAGGCTAATTTTCATTTTTGAGTGAACTAACCCTTTAGATGAAAACTGACATATATATATATATATATATATATATAGAGAGAAAGAGAGAGAGAGAGGGAGAGATACTGGTAGACAAACTAGATTTGTACTAAAGGTTCATTTATTTATATTTTATGTTTCTAATCTGTCCTTGTATAATCTAAGTATGGGAAATTAATATGTTGATTTTTAGATTCAATGGGACTGAAGGAAGACAAGCATCAGTTTGAAAAACCTCATCATTTAAAAAATGAAGATGGAAATGCAGTCATTTCACAGACTGAACAAAATTTTACACAAAAACAAGCTGGAAAAACTGGAGCCAAAGGATCTTTCACATGTACTCAGTGTGGGAAGAGTTTCAGCCGTACATCAAACCTTAAGAGACACGTGAGATTTCACACTGGAGAGAGGCCTTTTACATGCACTCAGTGTGGAAAGAGTTTCGGTGAGAAATCAGAGTTTAATGGACACATGAGATCTCACACTGGAGAGAGGCCTTATAAATGCACTGAGTGTGGAAAAGGTTTCAGTCAGAAATCAAACCGTAACAGACACATGAAAGTTCACCCTGGACTGAAGCCTTATACATGCACTCAGTGTGAAAAGGTTTTCTTTGATAAAGAAGAACTAAATGTGCACATGAGATCTCACACTGGAGAACGTCTGTTCACATGCACTCAGTGTGGAAAGAGTTTCGGTCAGAAATCAAAGTTTAAGAGACACATGAGATATCACACTGGAGAGAGGCATTATACATGCACTCCGTGTGGAAAGAGTTTCTTTGTCAAAGGAGAACTTAATGTGCACATGAGAATTCACACTGGAGAAAGACCGTTCACATGCACTCAGTGTGGGAAGAGTTTCAGCCGTACATCAAACCTTAAGAGACACGTGAGATTTCACACTGGAGAGAGGCCTTTTACATGCACTCAGTGTGGAAAGAGTTTCTTTGTCAAACAAGAACTTAATGTGCACATGAGAATTCACACTGGAGAAAGACCGTTCACATGCACTCAGTGTGCGTATGGCCCCCACGTGCTTCTATGCATGCCTGACAACGTCGGGGTATGCTCCTACGGAGACGACGGATGGTGTTCTGGGGTATTTCCTCCCAGATCTGGACCAGGGCACCACTGAGCTCCTGGACAGTCTGAGGTGCAACCTGGCGGCATCGGATGGACCGAAACATAATGTCCCAGAGGTATTTTGCGTCCCTCCATGGATATGCCTCCCCAGACCATCACTGACCCACCACCAGTGTTGGGCATGTTACTTTAAAGAAGTAATTAGTTATAGTTACTAGTTACTTCTCACAAATAGTAACATCATAGAGTTACATCATTATAAAAGTAACTAATTACCAGGGAAATCACACTCTCAATCATCCAGCTTTAAGTGTTTCGCTCAAATAGCCATTAACAATTCATGATTTTCCTGCTCCTAAAAGGCCACTGTCCTAATCAGTTTAATATTAACCCAAATTAAACACACCTGAACCACTTAGGCCTAATAAAGGTCTTCAGGATTACTAGATTACTTACTTTCAACAGAACATAATTTAGGCTCTAAATAATGATGACAAACATTAAATGAGTGCTTTTAAATAAATTGATGTTAAGGTTAAAGCGATGTTTATTTTTATGTTGAAGAGTTAAATGAATCGCATTAATTGTGCATATGAGCTTTTGTGAAACTAGCAACAATATAAAACAATGCTTTATAAAATAAAGATAAAATAAGATATAAAGTAAGATATAAAATAAGCTTTATAAAAGCACTTTTATAAAGATCTTGTTGCTTTATAAAATAAAGTAAGATAAAATAAGATATAAAGTAAGATATAAAATAAGCTTTATAAAAGCACTTTTATAAAGCTTATTTCTTTATATTCTTTAAGAAATTTGCTTCATATTTCCAGCACTTTTAAAGCAATTTAACTTATTCGTTGTATCTCTCAACACAACTCATAATCATTACACATGGTTGCATACACAAACAACTAATCAATATGTAACCATAGATTATGATTTAATATGAGAGTCAGATTATTTCGGTAACTGCCACGACTGATTGTTTTTTATTCACTAAAATACTATTGAATGAATCGGACACTGCTCGAAGCGCTGTTAAAATCACATAGCGCCATCTAGAGATAAATATGTTGAACTGCCAAACCGCATGCAACTTATTCTGAGGCTCGAGACTACAACATCTTGTAGTGATTGATCATAAACATTAGTTCATATGTTACCAGGATAGCAGGTATTTCACTGAGTTGCCATAACGCAGACCACATATTTGATTCAGGTTTCAAAGCTATTTTTTTCCCCCTTCAAATTATTTAAATACAAAAACCATCTGTATTTTTTTATTATTCTTACTTGGTAATAGCAATGTTGAATTGTTTAATTTTGATTTCCCACAAACTAAAGTACATTAAATAAATGAGTCATACAATTAGTTTTATTCTTTATTTCTCATAGTTTCAAAATGTGCAATTACTGCACTACATGCAACATTTAAGAGGTCAGAAAATATCATTACAAAACACCATTCAATCATAAAATATGCCATGACCAAACTTACCAAATTTTGAAATATTTTCATCCAGACTTTTTACAGATTGAGTTTTAAACAGCATAAAACATCATGAACATTCACAGGTTGTCCTAGTGATTTCAATCTAAGAACGGCGTTTTAATATGCTCTCAATACATCTAAAGTTACAATAAAAAAAGTTGTTTGTGATATGGATGATGATTTTATGGATTATTGTTGCTAGTTTCACAAAAGCTCATATGCACAATTAATGTGATTCATTTAACTCTTCAACATCAAAATAAACATCGCTTTAGCCTTAACATCAATTTATTTACTTGAATGTCATGGATATGAATGCAAACTTGTCTCCCAGCAATCTCTCAGTTTGGCTCATTTAGACAACTTTGGGCCATGCTTTTTCATATGAACCTGTAGAGCAGAGAGTCGGGCAAAACTCCTCCCGCATGAAGAGCACTGGTGTGGCTTCTCTCCAGTGTGAATCATCTCATGCTTTTTTAAATATGACGAGTAATTAAAACTCTTTCCACAGTAATGTACATTGTGTACAATAATAACTACACCCGTTGTTTATATTCATTAGATAGAATGCCTCAATACTCGAATAATCTTCACTGGTTTTCAATAACTAGTACGCGTGTAGCTTCACTATATGTACAGTACAACATGTTTCATTTCAAGTCGGACATGACTAAAGTACCAGTGCAGTATTCAATTTCTGATTCGAATTAATCCTGTAAAGGCTCCGACTGGTTTATAAGTGAATTTGATTCACTACAGTGAACCGACTCTTAAGAGTCATTTATTCGGGAATCGGACACAAGTCGAGCTCAATGCATGTTTAATTGGTCAGATTTACATATTTGCCTATAAATAATGAAATAAATGTACTCACCCTGATAAACAGCAGATTTAGAGTCGTTTCATGAGATAGAGTCACAAACACGTGGTTGAAATGAAAACAAATAGCGACATCTAGAGGAAGATCTATGCAACTATACACACTTACAATCACTCCAGGTTTAAATGTTTTGATCAAATAGTCATTAGAAACAATTCCATGACTTTTTTGGCGTTAACTGAATAAAAGGGAAAGCAGACACAATATATGAAACAACAAAGAGAATCACTTTTATTTAAAAAAAATCAAAAAATGTAAAAAATTAATTTGACACGAAGTAATGAAGCAATGTTCAACACAATGTTAGCCCTTTAAATTTATGCAAACTAAAGTAGGCTAGCCTACAATCAGTATAAAACTATTTACTAAATCATGGATCTGAAGAAGAAATTTCTTCACTTAGGCAACTTCATTTTATGAATCTGGAGATTATGTTATGTGAGCACTTGTAAGGTTTCTCTCTAGTATAGATACTCTGGTGTGTTTTTAAGTCTTTCCCACCATCATTGCACGTAAAATGTCTCACACCAGTATGAATACTCTGATGCTCTTTTAAATTTTGTATTCCTGAAAATATTTCCACAAAAAGAGCAAAAGCGAGGCTTCACACCACTATGAACTTTAATGTGTGCATTTAAGTTTGATGCCACAATAAATGTTTTATCACACTGATCACAACAATATGATCTCAGTCTAGTGTGAGTTTAAAAAATGAAAAAGAAATGTAAAAAGCTTAACTCGTTAGAGCAGGGGCAAGTTCAATCTCAAACCGGTGTGCACCGTTTTGCTACGGTTTCCGGTTTGAACGACATGTTTCCTGGAAACGGTGTGCAACGGGGTTTGAGATGCGTTTTCTCTTGTTTGGTGGGTGTGTCAAACATGTCAGCCCAATCAGCAGCAACATGTATATAAACCACGCGGTATTAAAGAGACAGCTCGCACAATGTAATTAACATCCAAATAAATTCACAAGGGCAAGAATATTGTTTGCACATGTTTCTTTACATTAAAGGCAAAATAACTGAAATAATAAGAGCACAAGTATAGATCTGGAACTTCTTCAAGTCTGTCTAAATATCATTTAGTAACTGCAATGTCTTCTGGTCCATATCCTTTCCTTAGGAAGGTGTGCTAAATACTGATTAATG